TCCAGCCTTTGTACAAGTGTGCAGAGTACAGGAGAGCACAATTAGCCTTTCTTTCATCTTCTGTGAAAAAGCCACAGTGCATCACAGTCTCCAAAGGCGTCTATGTAACCACCAGGTGCAAGGCAGACCACGTAGGGGGAGGATGCTCAAAAAGCCCTGTGCCTGGATTCTGCAGCTTGCATGCATGGTCAGCACCCCAGAAACATCACAGTCTAATTTGTTCTGACAGATATTCCCTCCGTATGGTCAGGCTGGAAATTTTACCTATCTTATAGAAATGCGAACAGTGCCATCCCACAGGGCTCTTCTCAGGATTACCTGGACCAAATCTGTGTAGCTCTGTTGTTATGGCAAACACTAAATAGTACAAACTGATATAAGCCACTTGCACATTTTCTGATCACAGCAGCTGAGGACAAAAATGTATTGAATGCTAAAATAGATTAACACTTGCTTTGCAGGCCTGTGACAAAATGCTATGTATGGTAGTCCTGTGTTAAGGGATTGCTTGTGACATACATCATCCATCTGAGGTTGTGCAACTGCCCTCGTATTCTGCTGTCAGCCAAAGATGGCTTATACCTGGAGGTTTGGTGTTGCCATCATGACATTTTTCTGGAAGCCCTTTGCTGGGCAGAGACTTTACCAAGCCAACCTGAACATTAGGGCACTCCACAAAGTCTTTTGGGTTTAAACCCCTCTAGAGAAAAAAGAAAAATCTGTAGTGGCTCACCTTGATATCAGGCACCTGTTTATTGAGAAACAGGTGGACACAGGTTCCTGTCACTCCAAGTTTGGGTGATTGAACCCCAAATATTTTTCCCAGGGACATTTGTCTCTTAGACATCCCATTGGGATGGCCAACATGAAAATTTCTGGCAGTTCAATATTTGATGAGGGGAAGTAAGGCAGAAGAGCTGGTCAGATTTAGTCGCGAGGAAACTCTGAGTACTTTCAGAAACAAATAAACTGCACAGTTTGGCAAAGACAGGGCCACTGCTAGACGACCTTAATTTCATAAGCAATCTGTGAAAGAAATGAGGTGATAGGAGCAATCAGCAAAGAGTCAGCATAGAATCAAGAAGAGAAAATAGGGTAGAAGCCACTGCAACCAATTATCTAGCTGAAAATCAGGAAATTAATCTGAGTAAATAGTCATCCAGTTCCCCTGGGTCACTATAACATTTAACAGCAGTACCAGGTCTTCACCATATAAGAGTAATGATGAAAAGCACACAGCAGAAAGAGTTAGTCAACGGCCTATTCCTGAACAACAGTCCACTCGATAATAAAAATTGGAATTTTGTTCATCATGGTAAATATAACAGTGTGAGACATGGAGTCGCCTAACAAACAGAGAAATAGACTAGGAATCAGAGGTTTTATTTCTATTTCCAACACAGGACTGCCAGGTGACTGCAGATAAGGCCTCCTGCTCTGCCTCAGTTTCTCCACAAGAAAAGGACCTTGCGGTTTGAATTACAAGAGTACTCCCCATCAATCTGGTTTGAAAGTGAAAAAGCCTCTGAACAAAGATACGGGAAAGATTTAATCAGTTTTTTGAAAACAAGAATCCATTCACAAACTCTGCTTTTCAGAAGATGTTCTGTTACCTGAGAAGAGGGAACAGAAAAGTCAATATAGCACAAACGTATCTGTGAATTAAGCTGTTTGGGGAGAGATGCAGGCAAGTTGCTGTATCATGGACCTCTGCACCAGCTATTTAATCTCCAAGTGATGTGTGTTCTCCAGAGCAGC